TTTTTGATCTTTAATCTTCCTCTTATGTTACATTTCGCTATATAATTCCATAAAAATCTCATTACAAAAATAGTTCTGTATTCGAACCACTAACCTTATGTTTACAACGCCGGTGCGTTACCTCTAGACCACCACAACATGTATGCTGTAGCTGTCTGCGATAGTCCTTATATTATAAGACTTGGTTTATAGCTGCAGGAAAATCATATTTATTTATTCACTTTTCAAATTTCTATTGACAAAAGACACCGTGGTCTCGAACCCCGTACCTTCCCAATACTTCGCAATGTCTTACCCACGTACCATCAGATCTATACAAATTTGTTACCTTCACCTTCCTCATATAGTACCACTTGCTTCCTACATGCACACTTTCTTACATTGTTCTTTTTTCACAAAAAAATAGTCATGTCTTCGAACCACATAACTTCTAAACCATACACGTTACCTCTAGACTACCGGCCACCCTTGATATTACTCAGCTATTTAACCTTTGAACGCCGGATTTCTGAAATGGTGGTAAGCTTGAGCTGGCCGGAGTTTATTTAAATGTCCGCTGCTACTCTGCATTTAAATGTCCGTTCGTGTTAGGACGCTTAAACAACTTTAAGCACTGTTTAGAATTGCTGTATATAACTCAATCTTTACGATAAATGGATGGAATTAACTTTGTTTGTATCAGCAAAGAACATAGTGTCGCATATTATAACGGAAGATTTGAAAATGTTTATACAAAGAGTTATGCTCTATTTTCAATTTTTTTCTTTTAATTTTGATGCGTACTGCAAAAATTGTTTCCCAGTTCTTCACAGACTTGTTCTGCATTATAAATTCATTTCTGTAACACTTGACAAAGTTAGCAGTCCCTGGAGTCATAAAACAGATGGAAGCAATAAAATCACGTGGTCTTCTGGTAGCACTGCTTACACTCTTCGGATCTGCGAATCTTTCGACTAAAGGACAGAAGAATGAAAGAATGGCTATTCAAGAGAAAGCTATAGGGGTCCCTTCTTAAGTGCTAAGACCTTCCGTTATAGCTGCAAGTGATTATTGCCCTTTCTAGGGTCGTGAACAGACAGTTGCATCGTGGTTGAGATACAGAGTGCGATCCGTTTTCTGTGCATTCATAGTGAAATCGAATACTATAGTTTCTTTTCAGCCTATATATACATCAAGCAGATAACAAA